ATATATATACCAAAACCCCTTTAAGTTAACCCATAAACCCCGACTTTTGCCCCACTGTTCGCTGACCAAGCGGAAATGAAAGTTTTGCGAAATTGCAACCACATTTGCATGTGTGCCAGTGACTGTGTGTGTGTGTGTGTGTTTGTTCGGGGTGTATTTAGTTAATGGACTAGTTTTGTTATATCCCTAGGAGGTCCTCCCACTCCTGCACCCCCTGTGCCCATTCCCAAGGTCTCTCTCCGCCTCCTCTAACCCTCTAACAAATCCACTTAGAAGGACTACTTTTCGGACTGCGGTCAACCGCACAAATCCAAATCAATCAACGACAAGGCCTCCCACGTTCTACTATTTTTATTTTGTGTTTTTCCTATTTTCCTGTTTTCCTTTTCTTTTTTTTTTTTTTTGTTTTTGGCCAACTTACAACTGTAAATGCTGCACGGCTAATTGGCTAGGAGATGGGGAGATGAAAATGGGTGGCACTGCGCTGCCTCATCATCAATCATCGTGGAACACGGACGACCCCCCCAGCCGGGGTAAAATGGACCCCTACAGGAATCCCAATCCAAAATTCCTTTGTTTCTGCCTCGGCTTGTTGACATTTCAGGTTGAGTTGTCAAACCCCCGAAAAGCTAATCCCAATCTCAATCCAAAGTCCTCAAACACTTGGAATTCTCAATATAGGATATCATCCAGCTCCGCACTCCCACCTCACCCCATCCAATTTTCGATACTTTTGTTGGCCTTTTGTTTGCTCTTTTTTGGGCCTGGCTTTCGGCTTTCGCCTTTGTTTGGCTTTCAAATAAAAATCAAAAAATCATTAATTAAATCGTAAGTCAGGCTCTCCGCTCCTGGCCAGCGATTTTCCTTTGGTTGAGAGAGGGGGGGGGGACAGCCGTTGATGTTGACATTTATAATACATCATTCCTGATCGAGCTCATAAATAATTGGGCAATCAGAGGCTGAGTAGGCAGAGGGAGGAAGATGTTGCTGTCAATCAGCCATGAAATATTCATTTCTATACGTTATTATTATTTGATTTGACGTCTTGAGTGCTTTATTAGTTTTGCATGCAGCGGCGACGGTGTTAGTTTGGGAGTCTACAGTTTGGAAGTCACTATAGAAATGATAAGAATAGTTTTCAAGGAGAATGAGTGGTTTGAGAGTTATATGTAAGTCAGTAGCTTAAACTATTTGAAACTTAAGCTATCTTAATTGCAAATCTTAACCTGGAAAATGATAGAAAATGTATGGAAAATCAAAGCCTTTGTAAGGATTAAAATGGGGATTGATTTCTAATAAGAAAGGTTAGGGTTATGACCTTGGAAAACCTCTTTAAGCTGCCTATTATTAAGAGAACTATGCAAGTGCTGTGTTGTAAGTTAATTAGAGAGATTAAGGCCTTAGTTTTCAGCTTGATTTTGTATACAACACACAGTTTCAATGTCACTAATGAGGGGAAAATATCCTTAAGCAGCTTATACAAGCCTGTGAAAAGCCAAGCAAAGTTTGCTAAAAGCAAATCAGAGTTAAAATAAATACAAATGTGTGTTATTTTTAATAAGAGATATTAAGTTTATAATAGCTTCACAAGCTAAGAACATCCTCAGGCAGATTATTTAAAGAAAAAAAGGAAAAGGAAACCAAAGGAAAACCTGGAAAATCCTAGCAACCTAGCTAGCAAATTAAAGTTAAAAGGTCGCTCAAGTGTGGGGCTTAAACTGAAATATTCAATGACATCTGTTGAGCTGACATCACAGTCTCGCAGCATCGCTTCACGGAAGAACATAGTTTACACATTCATTGTGATCTCATTGCGGGGAAATTGTTCCGGGAAAAAACCTTGCTCCCAATCGGCTTTCCACCCGCGGCATTTGACATCACTCCCCTAACATTCCAGCTCCAACATTGTGGTAGAAAATCGGTTTATAGAATCGACTGTGATGGGTTGCTAGTGGCAAACTGGGCCGAGATGGCAGCAATCCGCGGCTTAAAAGGGAATCGCTGCCGGACAGAAATGGCCAAGGCAAATTGCAAAACTTTGTCCGCCAGCTTTGAATGCCATTAAGTGTCGTAGCCGCAGAGCAATAGCCATGCAACAGCCATACAGCAGCCATGCAACAGCCATGCAACAGCCAGGCAACAGCCCACACACACATGACACCCACCCACCAGCAACCATGAAAGCCACCATAAACCACCTACCATTTTCTAGTAAAAAATGTTGTGAGCCTGACATAATGGCAAAATCAGGCACGCACACAAAGGCAGTCATGAGGTTTATGCCAGGGAAAGGAAGAAGACGGCTCCTATGCAAGGATTATGGCCATACGCGAAGGAAGTACTTTAGAGTGGACCTTAGTTGGTAGTTTGTAAAGGTTTATGTGAATGATTTTAAAGAAGTTTTGTGGGCTTAATTGAAGAAATCTTTGATATTTCAATATATATCATGCAACATGCCTCTAAAACTGTAAAATGAAACAAATTTTATTGGCAAATTTTTAAACTTTCAAACTAATATGCATATGCATAAGGTCTTAATATAGTCAGGCCAATAAATATGCAATCTAGTAGAGTCTGCTTACCAAAACATTGACCTGGATAACATGGCGTATGAGCTATACTTTACCAGCCACCCCAAAAAGTTATAATTTGTTGTCTTAATCATAATATATATACTATATAGATTGTGTCCACTCGAAAAGTTATAATTTGTTGTTTGTTTTTAACTTTCAAGTTTAAACAGAATGTAAAATGCACTTTTTGGGTAATTAAGTTAAGAGTTTGATAAGTTTTAGTTTTCAGCAAGAGAGAGAGATAGAGAGCGGTCCAGTTTAAAGGCCACGTTTCTGTTCTCAGCCACCGTTTCTTTCTTTCTTCTAACTACCAAACAGTCAAATGCAGAGCGTAACGAGATAGCCGTTAGGACCACGCCCCCCCCGCACCTATGTTTATAGTACCGCCTGCCGTTTTCTGGTCCTTTCCATATATATTTTTCCTTCCTTCTTTGTTTTCAGTCACGGCAACTGTTGACACTACAAAGTAGCAAGCAGCGTTGTTGTTGTTGTTGTTCTTGTTGATGATGTCCTTGTTGCAGTCGTAAAAAGTGCTTCATGTGTGTGTGTGTGTGTGTGTATGGGTTTGCGTGCCAGTGTGTGTATCACATAAATATGCATTTCCCATTTTCCAACGGCAGCAACAGCAGCAACAGCAGCAGCAGCCATCGAGCCATTGCATGTGAATATTTTTATACATATTCATTGGCTTGGCCATGTCCATGTCAATGTGGGTTAGTGTGCTCTTCTACCGATTTACCACCCTACCTCACCCTCCCTTCCCCTTTTACTTTACAGCCAGCTTTGGCAGTGCTTTTCCTTCCAGTTTTTCCCCTTGGATTTGCCTCATTTTCCCTGCTCCAGTCGTCTGGCACCTGCGACATGCAACTTGCAGTCCAGGAATGGCGTGCCTGCCACATTTGCATTTTGCCAGTTGTGGGTCGCGACTCCCTGATATTACCATTACGATTCGTCCCTCTCTTCTAGTCTATAACATTCCACATAATGTCAATAAAAAGTAACGGCAACTGATTTCCACTCGCTCGGTCGCTGTTCTATCAGCCAGGTGTGGCTGGTCCAACTGGCAGGCTAGAGGGATACTGTTTTTGGGTTTCAAAAGCTTCTTTGGTAAAAAGTTTTCAGTGATTTGGTGAAGTTTTGGTAGAGGTTTTATCCTTATTTTAGAATGTTTGTTAAAATATTTTGGGAAATTTATTTTTTTTTGTAATTTTTGTCATACTTTTAAAGCCGAAAATTAACCTTTTTTTTTGGCTTTGAACTAGAAATTTCCCTAAATATTTCCCCTTCCCAACTAGTTCCTGAAACTTAAAATGATTTTTGGTAAAACTTCCCACCATTTGGGGCATCTCAATCGTCACTAATAAAATCACCAGAAAGTAAAAACAACAACAGAAAAACACAAGCCAAATGGCAAACAGCAAATAAATAGTAAAACAACCAGTCAGACTTAATGGGTTAGTAAATGATGGTGGTGGGGCGTAGGGAGGTAGGGTGTCTGCCCTTTAGGTCGATGCCGATGCCAGTTACGATGCCATATCCGTGTGTGTATGTCCTTATGTCCGGATGTCTGCGTATCCATGTCCGTGTCTATGTCCCTGCCATGCGATGCCAGCGCGTGGTTTACACATGTTACCTGCTTACCCGACTACGGGAATTTCGAACTCGTACGTTGTACTCTCGCACAGAGCTACTATACACCGAATTTCAGCAATAACAACCGCCATTAGTCCAACTGCCAGATGGTTAGTGATGTGAGAGGTTTAGGTAGGTTATATAGCTAGGTACAAAGTTGTGGGTTTCCATATCATAAAAATGATAGAAAACTGATAGTTTAAAGCCTTTAAAGACATTTTAAGTAAAGAAGTTAACGGCCTTCCTTTTTAATTTTCTCTAAACTTGTATCTTAGAATCGTAACTTGGTACTCTTTCATAGACAGCCATAACATTGGTACCCATAATGCCAAGTACCTTCTACAGCTCTGCCAACTAGACTAGACTAATTCGGCCCAAAGAGTGAGTGGATGGGTGGTTGGTTGGCTTGCAGTCAATAAAACGATTTTGATTATGAATGACAACATTTGAAATGTTCCAATTACGCTCAAATATTTTGATAAACTTCCACGCCAAAAGCCCAATAGACTGACTTACAGGCTGACTGACAGTGACAAATTTGTCGTTGGCCATTTTCCGATGGTATTGTGAAATGCTAAAGGTAACTTGTATAGAGTCCTTTCTATTGCGGTGAATAGGGGCGGATTTTATGGGCCAGTTTAACATTGGTTTCTTGGCTAAATGATAAATGATTTATATTTCGAAAGGGCTTAGCGCAGGTTAGTGACTTAAATGACTTCATTTTGTGTGCTTAAAAACTAACTTAATTCGTAATTAATCTAATAACTTATTAATTTTCTTTGTTATTTCTTTCAGCGGACAGCTCGTTTCTTTTGGCCAACGCACAAATCGTCGATTTTCCGATCGTCTACTGCAATGAGTCCTTCTGCAAGATCAGCGGCTATAACCGGGCCGAGGTCATGCAGAAGTCGTGCAGGTATGTGTACGTATTGCCGATTTATTTTCACTTCAACGAAAACAACTTTCGCTCTCTATTCGCTGTGCGTTTTTCGTTTATTGTTTGTTATTTGGTGTTCTCTGCGTTTATAATTGGTGCTTTAATTGTTAATCCCTAAGGGGATATTAATATTTAATATATATATATTTATTGGTGTCCTTGATGTCGTGGCTTAACTTAACGATAAAGTCAGCAGGTTGTTGATTTATAACAATCGATGATTATTTTTTAGTTTTTAACTTACTTTCCCTACAGCTAAGGTTGAGTCATAACTATATACCCTTTAATAGATAGGTTCCTCTACACCTTCTTTTGCACTTTTCTTTGTGTTTTCCATCATCACTTTCACTTTTACTTTGGCACTTTTCCTTAGATTTGACTTTTAAGCCACGTTAAAGTTGCATGCTCATTTCTTAGGCAAATATTAGCTTTAGAGCAGTGCTGCTCAAACTGTTAGCTGCTGCACAGCTGGTAATAGGTGTAGTTAGAGAAGAAGGGAAGGGAGAGAGACAACTGTCAGACAGACAGGGCAGAGACTCTGGACATTTCCCTTTTGGGAGCCTTGACAGCTAAGAGGATTGCCCGAGATTGCAGGAGATTTCTTGCCCGCCTCCCTACGACCACCATTAACAGCTTGTTCATGCACCTGACCTGCCTCATCCGGAAAATCTGCCCCCCCATGTATTTTCCACCATTTTCCACCGTGTTTATCTGCTTAACGGCTTATCCGCAGCTGCTTACACCGGCCATTGAATTGTGAAGTTCATTTATTGTTTTTTTTTTTATCCCCTCCCCCCTTCTTCTTCACCTTGTCTGCTTGTAGTTTTTTCAATTAATTTGCGTACTTTTTTATGTGCCGGCCATTAAAAAACCATTGTCGAACTTAATGCACTTTGCTGCTCAGCGAACTTAATGCAAATGGACAGGAAGGCTTTTCCCGTTTTTCCATCTTGCGTAATGAAAGGAAAATGCCACAAAGTATGCGCAGCATAAAGGAGGCAAATATGATAGCGATGCGATCCTGAAAAAGAGAGAAAGAGTTTCGTTTTTCGAACTCTAACTGTCTTAAAATAGTTAACATTTAATGGTAGTTTCTTAACATTCTTAGTAAACAGAGTAAGAAAATAGGAAAACTACTTAGTTTAACCCATTAAAAACCCATCAGTGGGGCATCTCTAAAATGCATAATGAATATTCGTATTGGCATGCCGCGAGGATAATTGCCCGAAAATGTTAAGGCACGATGAATGCCCCCTGGGAAGTTGGTTTAATTTTTTCGCGGGAAATTGGACTGACTATTTCCTACCTCCCCACCCCCCTCAGTCTAACCTGTTTTTCTTTTTAGTTCTTTTGTGTGTGGCGCACGCCTACCGTTTGCGTTTCCATTTCTCGTTACACTGTTGCAAATTGCCTGCCGGTATGGTCCTGACCAAACAAATTTTCTATGCAAACCTTTGGTGAATTGATGTGATAGCGAGAGAGAGAGAGATAGAGAGATGAAAGAGTGAGTGAAAGAGGTGGTTAGAGTAAAAAAGAAAGCGAGATAGGGGAGGGCATTTGCACAAGTGTTAACTGCATTTGTTTGCCTTAATTCGGCTAGGACTTTCGATGGTCGTGAACTCGGTCCCACAACCTATTTTCTTTACTCCTCTCCCTTTCCGGTTTAGCTAGGCTATCTATCTCGTTCCCTTCGCCAGCCTCATAAATCAACAAGCGGCTGGCCCAGAGGCCAGCGTATCCAATGATTCTCCGGAGAATTGTTTGTAATTTGCGGGCCAAAAAAGTTCAGACCTAAAAAAGAATAGGGGTACTCGTCTGGGCTTGGGACTGGGCCTGTGTGTGGGCAACTCACCTGCAGCATCAGCGGCCAAATTCCCTAGTTGGCAGAGAAAAAATACAAGTTTTTAATGCCAATCTGCCGTTTAGCTAGCTATATGCCTTTCCTCTTCTCGCCTGCTGCTATCTTACTCACTCCCTGGGCTGCCTTCTCTTTCGGTCGCTCAATCATCCGTGCCGTGTTGTTGTTGCTGTGACCCACTTTTGTTGTTGTTGTCCTTCTTTTTGTTTGTTTCTGTTTTCTGGTCGCGTGTGAACCTAAAAAAATAAAGAACGAACGAAAGAAAGAAACAAGAAGAATGACGGCCAAAGGCAATAAGAAAACATTGACCAACAAAAAAAGGAAAGAAAACTAAAGAAAAAGGAAGAACAAATGCAAAAAAATAGAAGGGAGAAAGAAACGTTTGATTTCCACTCGACATTCACTTCGATGCAATTTCGTTTGGTGCAACGCAAATCGCTTTTCGTAACTCTTAAGTTTCCCTTACTACAGTGGAAGCTACTTAATGGGGATTTTGAACACTGTGTAAGGAACAAGCAGAAGGTTAAGCTATATTTAAAACTATAAAGTAAATATGGTTTAAATTTCTTTTAAGGCCTTATATTACCAAAAATACAGTTTGAAAGTCCTAGAAAACATTTTGATAGCATACTTCCGCGCGCCTTAGGAAATATCTTGATCGCTATACTGCATTTTCCAGCTTAAAAAGGCCTTTGTGTTTAACTCCCTCTCTCTCTGGTGTATCTAAGATTGAATTAGGGGATTTTCTTAGAGTGCTTTTCTTGGGATATCCCCTTAAAAGAAAATAGAATTTCGAGTGCTTGCCAAGAGCTTTCACTGTGCTAACGCCCGAACGCCCGCCCGCCCCATGTGCATATAAACACTTTGTGCAACCATATCTATATCTACATATATCTATGGCCATATCCCCGAATCCGGGACCTGTTTTTTTGTTTGTTTGCTTTGTAACCCAATTTCGTTTTTTGTCCCTGTCTCTGTGTGTGTGTGAACATACAAACACAATCAAATACTTACACATAGATAGAGAGAGGAACCCGTGACGTCGCCATTTCGGTCGAGCATAGTTTGTTGAACTTTTGTTCGGGGCACGAATAAAGTAAAACAACAGAAATTAACTACTGCTCCTCCTTTGCCACCACCACCACCACCACCGCCTTATCGTCCTTACTCTTCCTCCTTCACCCACTTTTCCTTCGGTTGCGCGTTCTCGTTTCCCATTCGTTCGCTGCTGCTGACGTCATCGAGCCTGGCCTGAAAGTATGCAACACTATATAAATTTTGTTTGTATGGCACTGCAAGTGGTTCCCTTGTCCCGATTTCTCTGCTGACTTTTCCAAGTAAATACATACCAAAAGTTTAGTCCCCTGTTTAACCCAGAAACTCGGATCATTAATTATTTAGTTTTCGATGGGAAATGAACGAAAAATAATAAATATCACAAAGGTAGCCAAAGGAATATGCATAAGGCGAGGTTTGTTGTTTTTTACGAACTTTTCCTTGGGTTGGGGGAAAACCAAGGGAAAGCCAAGAGTTTTTCACGCATAACTTTCGTTCGGGGAATATCAAATTACTGCCGAATACAGTTTTTGATTTCAATAATCGAGGCAGAGTCGAACACTGCGAGAAAAAAGGAAGGAAAATTTAAGTATTTAATCATTAATAATATTGTTTTTTTAATCTTTAATAGTAAATAGAAAATGCTTTAACTTACAACCTGTCCTTAGATATTCCTATAACTCCTTGACCTAATATAATATGTAGAAAATGTTGACCTTTGCCCCCCCGAGGCAATGTGGCATACACCCCATCGGTTGAGCAGCGGTGCATTAAATTGATATTTGTTTAATACTTTCTGCTGTGTGCAGTGAAGCTTCAACGTATTTTTTTTTACCCGGTGGCCCCCAGGTGCATCAATCTTGTTTTGTTCGGCATGTTTTCCTCGAATTGGAACGCTTTCTGTTTTCCCATTTTCCGCTGCATGTGTTTGCCTTGGTTGGTCTACGTACGTACTAGTATATATGTGTATGTGAATGTGTATGTGTATGTGTATGCTTTTGTGTGGCATGCAACCAATGTAAAGCTAACCAAGAATAATACCTCGTCTGCTCTCCGCATCTCTTTCTATCATTCTGGCATCTCCTGGCTGGCATCCTTGGAAATCCTGCAGATGCGGCTTCATGTATGGCGAGCTGACAGACAAGGAGACGGTGGGACGGCTGGAGTACACGCTGGAGAACCAGCAGCAAGATCAGTTTGAGATTTTGCTCTACAAGAAGAACAGTGAGTATGGCCATTGGCCAATAGCCCTAACCTATGACCCCGCAAAGCTCCTGTGTGTGTTAAATGGCCTGTGCCTAATGGCTAGTATGGCATGGCCTTAATGCTAAACCCAAATCAAAGTTCGTTTTAGGTCCTTGAAACCTTTTTTTGTAAATGGAATTTTACCAAGCTAATTTTGTAGATATAAGAGTAGTGCCTAGAGTAAACTAAAGGGGATTTCTAGCTTATAAATGTCTTCTAAGAGTTTCTTTAATTGATAGATTTAAGTACTTAGTTTATAGTTCAAGAAGTAAAACTCTTTAAAGACCATTCCAGTACCTCGCTCAGAGTGCTAAACCTCCTTAAAACCTTTATTGATAAGCGTTTTTCCTATTTAAATATCAACAAACCTTTTGAATTGTAATTTTATCGACAAGTTTTTGCATAAACCTGGCAGCCAAATGAATCTTTTAACCACTACCGTAGGCTATTTGGCTTTATGCTCGAGCTGTGCCCATTGTAAATTGTTCATTTTGTGAATTCCTGACTCCGAACCTTTCATAATTCATTCCCAAAACTGCCTAACCCCCCACTCTTGAATTCTATTTGCGAGTATGCTCAACCCCTTTCCATTAGGATTACCTTTGCCACCTGCCACCTGCCACCTACCAATCTACCACCCACCAACACCCCCGTAATGCCAACAAATTGGGGCTGCGATGGCAGCCCGCCGGCACTTTTGAGTGAGGCCCATCAATCAAGCTGCCAGACCAAACACTCCACCTCCCCCCTCTTTGCCAGACACCTGTAGTAATGCCATATCCATATCCAAAATCCATCCAATCCCACGGCAAATCAAGTGGAATCGAGTAGCCGCCCACCCAAAAATAGAAGAAGCTCCCAAAGCGAGTATTGCCAGATCTTTGGGTGTGTCGAGCTCATGAATTAACGCCTTCGAGTATCAATTTTCAGATTTGCAGTGTGGCTGCGCCCTCTCACAGTTTGGCAAGGCACAAACCCAAGGTATTTCTTCATCATTTTTTCCCAAAAGGGGAGGGGCTCTTTTGGATTTTCCGCGCGGCCATGGCAATTTACCGAGCAGGGGGTGTTTCCATCTCGATTCATGTCTTGGCAGGCTGCCCGCAGCAATATACCCACATCCTGTTGCATGTGCGGTCAGAAAATGCAGAAGGGGGGAGAGGTGGGGTGGTGCATTAAATAAGCATAAATCAATTGCAATATGAGAAAGTGCAACATCTGGCGGAGTTCGATCTGTGGGGGCAGTAGGAACAGAATTGAGATTGAAATTGCAATTGGCCGGCAAAATATTTGCTTCGTTACGGATTTGGGCCAAGGAGAGAAAGACTGTTGCGGAAACAATAGCTGAATGTTCTACAGCAAATCCTCCACTGACAGGTGTACCCTGCCAATAGGAATCGTTTATATATATATATATATAGGATATATAATAGATAAACCCATAGCCAATTAATCTAGTCAACGGCCATCAATCCAGGGGAACTTGAAATAGAAATAGAAATAGAAATGGGGAAAACAGAGAAGTGAAACAATGACCAAACCATAAACTTTCACCGGAAACGGAAGTTGCAAATTGTGCTTGCAATTAGTGAATAATTATGCCATCAAATACAAATACAAATACACACAGAAACACTAACACACACACACACACAGACATAAACAATCGTAACGGAAGAGGTGGAGAGCTGTCCTTGTGACGTGAAAATTTAACGGCAATTACGAGAATTGCGGTCATTAGTAGTACGTGTAAAAAATAAGAGAGAGAAAGAGAGTCCTTGACAGAGTCAACAAATGTAATGCTTATTTTACCATTTGATAACTAATTATCTGGGGGTTAAAGTTGAAACTTTAAATACAAACCAAAGGATACACTTCTTAAAAGTAATAAACATTAATGTAGTAAAGCTTTTCAAACTCTTAAACTGACTTAACTTTTCCATGATCTATAGCGAAAGTTTATTTAACTTTTGACCTCATGAAAAACCACTCTTCGTATCAATATAGCATTACCAATTTAATGGGCGACTTTAATGCGTCAATTTACATTGGAAAAGCCCCATCGATGGCTGCGACAATCGGTGTACTCATTGAATTATTCATATGGACAGACAAAGAGCAAACAGTTTCAGCTGTTGCACACATATGGAGAGCACTGTACTGTGTGTATGTGTATGCTGGTGATTTACATACATGCCGGCCATTGTCTGAATGCAGCATTGAGCATTCAACATCCTAGCAATCGAGTATAGCAGCATCCATTAACCAGCGTTCCATATCAATAATTGCAATCCAATGAAATGTCTGTGCCCCCCCGCTGCTGTGTTCTCTCTGTCTGGTCGTGACCTGAATGCAATGGGGGATTATCATCTATATATCTTTAGACCCTTGATCCCCCTCTTGTAACATCATCATCATTATCGTTGGACCACCGTACTTACCTATAATTGTTATTAATTCCACCTACCGCATATCGCCTGCAGAAACCCCGCTATGGCTGCTGCTACAGGTCGCACCCATACGCAACGAACGCGACCTGGTGGTGCTCTTCCTGCTGACCTTCCGGGACATCACGGCCCTCAAGCAGCCCATCGACAGCGAGGACACCAAGGGAGGTAAGTAACTGCTCTGTCGATTTTTATGCTTTTTTATTTTTGGATCACGGTTGCCTGCTGAGAATGTTCTTGTTTTTAAGTCATTTTTATAAGTTTTAGTTAGTAATTTAAGGAAATATTTATAAAATCTAAAAACAAGGAGTAACTATGATTTTTTAAATAATTTTCCTTCAGATTTTTGCCTGTTTTAAAATCAGTTTTGGCAACCGTTTTCCATGCACACTTTTTCCACTTACGTCTTTCTTGGTCTCTTTTCCACTTTACCACTTTACCACTCTACTTGTCTGCTCTCTCTTTCCATGTCTACACACACAAACACAAAAACACACGCACCCACAATCACACCCGCCTGTAAATACGCTTGAACAAATTGAAAACCAACAAAACGAAACCCCAAACTAAACAAAAAACAAAAAAACAAAAACAAATCGAAAACCAAACCAATTTGATGTGCCAACACTATGTCTATATCGAATGCCACTCATAACTGTGACTGCCTTTGTGTTTATTATACTTTATACTCGATGTTTACTGTCTGAACTGATGCACTGTTCTGATCGGTGTTTGTGTGCGTGTACCCATCTCGTAGCGGTTAATCTATTTTTGCCAGTTTTAGGTCTCTCGAAGTTTGCCAAATTGGCAAGATCGGTGACCCGAAGTCGCCAGTTCAGCGCCCATCTGCCCACACTGAAGGATCCCACGAAGCAGTCCAATCTGGCGCATGTTAGTACTCTATATTATACTTTTTTTTTTAAGACTTTTTTAAGCTTTATTATGTTGTTTTTTTTTTAGATGATGTCCTTGAGCGCGGATATCATGCCACAGTACCGACAGGAAGCCCCCAAAACGCCGCCACACATACTCCTGCATTATTGTGCATTTAAAGCAATTTGGGACTGGGTGATATTGTGTTTAACATTTTATACAGCCATCATGGTGAGTGTTAGAGAGAAGTTAGAAGTTAGAAGAACTTAATGTTGAAGAAGAGAGTTTTTAATGAAAGTTCGGGAGATATCTATAGGAAATATCTATCAATATGGGTAATCTAACTTTAAGCTTTAAGACACTGAAAAACTTTAACTTCTCTGTCCCATTAAGCATTCCTTAAACCATCTCATATTCCTTTAAAACTGTTCCAATTTATATTCATATTTATATTCCATATTTAATAAGCTTCTTTACACATTTCCATTGATAGGCAGCATTCAAAATGCTCCTCCACCAGCCAAACCAAACATAATGTCTAACAATGATTGTAAAATGTTTTACGACTTCGTCTCTGGGTTTTTTTAGGGCGCACAGGTGTAGGTTAGACTTTGAGAGTAAGGGTAAGGGTTTTCCATGGAATGAGATTACCATGGATAGACTTGCGATGCCACCTGCCACAAACACACATTCAGATTGCCACAAAGCCGCATATACGATGCCTTTTCATAAGCCGATGTCGGCTGTCTGCTCGAATTGTGTCTATTTCCGTCAACAAGATGTTAACATTTTCGCTTAAATTGCGCTCAGCATAAGTTGCCATCCGTAAGGGGGCGGGGGAGTCCTTAAACTGAGAGGGTAGGGGGTTAGCCACCCTATCTATATCCAAAAATGATATATAGTGTTCAGGCAAGATAAAGTTGCAATTCCTTGTTAGTTTCTTGTTTCGGCTTTCATGTTGCACACTTTTCGTTTACTTATTGTTTAATGACATTTTGCGGTATAAGTTGTTGTTTCTTTCCCTCGCTCTTTCCACATACATAGATTTTCCTTTTACTACTAGCTAGCTGTTTGTTGTTGTTATTGTTGTTTGGGGGATTGTGGCTGTCGCAACTTTTAGATAAATATATAGCTATAGCCAGCGACAAATCAAAACTTTGTCTGCCACTACAACAGTACAAAATGTGCAACGAAAAAGCTTGAAAGTTAAGTGATATTTTTAGCCAGGTGGTCGAAGGTTCTCCTTTTTTTTGTGTTTGAATGCAGAGAAGATTAAAAGTTTAAGTCGAAGAACAAACGAAATCTTTTTTTAATCACTGTAAGTGACTTTTTCAAAAGTCAACAAATCCATATAAACTGTAATGTTTGCAGGAAAAACAAGAGACTTAGCTTGATTAATTGCGTTTGTTTACTCTGTTTGCTTACTTAAAAATTGATATAAAATTTACAATTTTGTTAGTTAAAACTTCATTAAAAACATGAAAAGCCATTAACTATTTCTATTTTTGAGGCTTGAGGAAAGTATAACTATGTTTCTAACACCTTCTCATCGCTTTCCCTTAGTCAGGTTAATAAATTTGTATACAGTATACCCCAGCTATGGCCTCTAATTAGTCAAATACCCTCGAAACAGATCGGAAAGGGCTCGAGCTCAAGTGAAGAGTTCAGATAACGACCCTCTGTCAGACATTAATGTCGGGGGATCCCAGCCAGACAAAGCCTGCGAAGAGGACGAGATGCTGGGACAGACAAGTGCACACATTTACATGACCAAGTGGCTGCTCAGACGGCGAGTCCTTCCTCCTCCGCCTTAGCTGCCTCCTCCTCCTCCTCCTCCTACTGCTGCTGCTACCGCTGTTACTGTTGCCTCAAAGAGGGCGGCTTATGTTTTATGTGCTTAAATTAATATGCTCAGTCGTCGTCGGAGAGGCTGGAGGCTGGAGAGACAGGGCTTGACAGGACATAAGTAGAGGCATTCGTGGCTTGTAATCCAACCTCCGACCAGGACAAGACGAGCCACGTTAAGAGGCTTGTAACTGCCACTTGGGGCAACAGTTAAGACAACAGCCGAAACGTGGGGTGGCCGGTAATACCAACTGTTGCTCGGGTGATGGAAGGAAACGGGAGCCACACCTGTAACTTTCGGACTGACAGATCAGTCGTTTCTTGTATATATATCATGGCAACTACTTTGTTTTACTTTGAAGTCGTTTTTAATGTCAAAAAGTAGCCTGAAACATAGTAATTTGATTTTAATTTCAAAAAGAGTCTAGTGTCCTTTGTTTAAGTTTCGATCGTCTTAAGAATATATGTCTCTAGTTTAGATAGTTTCATTCCAAATTGCATAAGTTAATTAAACATGACGAAGAACTATCTGGTTCATTACCCATACGCTCTGTTGGAAATATAGCATACTTTTGCGCTGATTTCTCCCCGAAGATAATAGTATTTTGCCCATAACTAAGCCAAAAATGGTCCAAATGAGGAATGTAATACCTCGTAGGGCTCGTAACTTGATTGCTATGATTCCCAATTGGTTTGCATTCAAATCTGGGAAACTTCATTTTTGGCCAATTTTTGAAAATTTTGATGATGGTACCCCTTATCAAAAATGCGAAATTTGGGTCAAAATTGACTTTCCCAAAATCGAAAAACGAGTGATAGGGGTGGTTAGTGTCGGTCGTTAGCTGCACGAAACAGTCGTTCTTTTGGCTGTGCGTCTTGTTTTGGCCGAGCTAGAGCTAACACACCGCAACAAAAATTGCATTTCCTTTTTTAGCCTTTAAACCCTCCTCTTAGGTCTGTACTTGTGAAATATTTTAAGATTTTCCAGGAATTATTTGAGTAATTCTTGAATAATAATTAGTCTTTTTTAATAAGTTACCTTGAAGAATTTATTCCAAAAATTAACTGCCTAAACATAGGGATATATATTAGCTTAATCTGAAGGAAACCCAACCTATTTGACACTTCTATGAGTTACCATTTGGACTCTCCTTATTTTTCCCCTAAAAGTATCCAATTTTTTCCCTAGCTAAGCCATTTATGGTCCAAACTGAAGGCAAATTATTGAACAAAATAAACATCCTTGATAACCTCATCTTTAAACACGTTAAAAAAAAAACTACAAATTTCTTTATTCACTCAAAGTCAAATTTATTTTTTCCTATAAAGGTTCCAATGTTTCACAGATATTTTCTACTAACTTCTAAAGACATTATCTATTGACAGTATTTATAGTATCGGCCATTTTTCTCGTGTTTCCATGCTCTTAGATATTCACCGGGACTCGAACCCAGACCGACGGCGCCTTAACATTTTGGGGGCAACTTTGCCCCCAGCGCTACCGTCGGCGGCGATGTTACAGTTTTCAAATGTTAAATATAAACTACACCCAGTTCGATTAGTCAAAGTATGTCGGCAACAGCCTACTTAGGTTCTCGTCGTTAGCATTACATTTTCCAAATGACAGGATGTACATCGGTTAGTTTTAGCTTAGTTTTGAAAACTTATGTCAGCTTGAATAGCTCAGGGGGTAGAGCATTGAAACTCCGAAGTACAGCGGCTCAAATCCCAGTGCGCGAAGAAGTAATTTTCTTTTTTTATCTTTTTGTATACCCGATTCCTGTTTTTTCCAATTAAAACTCAATAATATTACCATAGCAAAGCCTAAAATGGTCGAAATATGGAATTGTCTTTGCGCTTGGTTTTGGATGAGAATGAGAACCAATGAGCACTTTGTCAATTATGGCTAAAAGGGTATACAGTGGAAGGCGTTTGAATGGTAATTGGTAACTTGGTGACTCAAAATATTCCTAAGTAATCTGCACCATAAAGAAAATCTTCTTCATTTTCACTTTTTATAGCCCATATGCAGCTTGATCTGTAGAAAACCCAAAAAATTTCCGACTTCCATGACCTACCAGCTAAGGCTTAATTAATGACAAAAAATAATCCAGGAAAATAGGCTTTTCCCATGCCCAAAACTTGGAAACTTGGAAAATATTAAACATTATCACAAATTCTTATGAAGAGAAAAAAAAAAGTTTTACAAAAAATCAGTAAAATTTTAGATTTGAACATTTGAAAAATTTAAAAATCAACCGAAAAAAGCTTACTGAATGTTAACTTTTGAATGTTAACGACTAGTTAACAATAAAATTAGCTAACTCAATGTTAGCCGAAATTTTGTGCACTCCGCGGCACTTGTAATTCCCAACTGGTTCTAGCAGAAAAGTTGTGACTAGAGCGCTGTTGGCCGGTGAAAATTAGTCAAGTCACTTTTGTGTGTGTGTGTGTGTTTTCTAGTACAGTGCATCGAAGTGCCTCCAAGTGGTCCGGTGGTACCCCCTATCACATTGGTGGTGCCTGGACATGGCTTCCATGGAGGATGCAGTGCATCATGGATCCATGTGTTGTTTGATGTCGTTTGATGCTGGATATACTGGATTTTTTGAGCATTTTTTTAAATTTTGATGATGGCGTCTAGTTTTGACGAAGCTGGAGCTAAAATCCCGGACAAAATACTGCAAATTTCTGTAAAAAATAGGCTTTTTGAAAAGGTCAAAAGAGCAGAACAAAAATGTTAAAAGTAGGTACAGGGGAATAAAGTTTTGGTTGTTAGCGGCATAAAATAGTAACTGCATTATCCGTGTGTCTTGATTTGACAAAGTAAGAGCTGAGATATTGCAGCAAAAGTGGACTCTCTGCTGTTAAAAGACTTGATTTGGCGCCCAAAATTTCATAATTTTGTTCATAACTAAGCCCATAAAAGCCGAAATATTGAATCAAATACCTCCAAATTGCTTATCTTGTTTACTAAAAATGGGAATTACCTAATTAAGTAAGTTCTCCACATATTTTATCGACTGATTTCAAGAATTCCTATTTACATAGTTTTCCAAATGCATTGACAATATTTCTTACTATTTTTCCAGGTGCCATACAATGTAGCGTTTAAAAATAAAACCTCAGAGGATGTTTCCCTGCTCGTGGTCGATTCAATAGTCGATGTTATATTCTTTATAGATATTGGTAAGTGCATAATATCTTTCCCAATATTTGCCATCTTTTAATTATCTACTTTTCCCCCCGCAGTTTTAAACTTCCATACAACGTTCGTGGGTCCTGGTGGCGAAGTGGTCAGCGACCCGAAAGTTATCCGAATGAACTACCTAAAGTCATGGTTCATCATCGACCTGCTAAGCTGCCTGCCCTATGACGTGTTCAACGCGTTTGATCGGGACGAGGATGGTATCGGTTCTTTGTTCAGTGCCCTCAAGGTAGTACGCCTGCTGCGGTTGGGTCGAGTAGTGCGGAAACTGGACCGCTACCTGGAGTATGGGGCGGCCATGCTGATCCTGCTGCTGTGCTTCTATATGCTGGTGGCCCACTGGTTGGCCTGCATCTGGTACTCGATTGGTCGCAGTGATGCGGATAATGGGGTAAGGTTGGAATAAGTTAGAGTGTGTTAAGAAAGATATATAGCTATTAGGTTATACCTTACTTTTCTACAAAGATTTCTTGAGCTTTGATGTTACTCCTTTGTGACCCATCCCTTTCCAGATCCAGTACAGCTGGCTTTGGAAGCTGGCGAATGTAACCCAATCGCCGTACTCGTATATATGGAGTAATGACACCGGGCCGGAATTAGTTAATGGGCCGTCACGGAAAAGCATGTACGTGACGGCCCTATATTTCACCATGACCTGCATGACCTCGGTGAGTATGTGTGTGTGTGTGGTTGTGGGTAATCTTTTGTAATATTTTGTTTCCCAAAAATACTAAATAATCCGTTGATTGTTCTCTGTTCTCTATTTCTCCAATTTGATTGTTCTCGTTTGTTTAGGTGGGCTTTGGCAATGTCGCCGCGGAGACAGACAACGAGAAGGTGTTCACCATCTGCATGATGATCATTGCAGGTGCTGTGTCCTTAACACGTTCCGTTGCCGCGTCCAAGTTTCTTGATATTCCCGCACACGCGTCACGCTTTTGAATTCCGGTTCCGATTTCTCGATCTCGATACCATTTGAAAGCTAGGCCATTCCGCTTGCGCCGCTAGAACTAATAAATCGCTCCAGTTATTTGGTGTAGAGCCCTCATTTTCGATACGTAGCACATGTCCATTTTGTCCATGTCCAAGTAGAAGCAACTCACTCGCATTGTCACAAACGTCAATCATTGATTGATCGCAGCCAGAGTCAAGTGTCAAAATCTTTTTCTCCACCCTTCTTCTGCTCCGTCGTCATCTAGTTGCACAATTCGTGGCCATGTGTGAGTTGCATTGCGTAATCCTCTCTACTCGTTGTCCGTAAAACTCGTTACTCGTTATACGTTAATCGGTAATCGTAACGCATGATCCGTAATAGTAACTCGTTCGTTACTCATCAATAGTAACTCACGTTGTGAACATAATAACTCTTTAATAATATTAATTCGTAAATTGGTAACTTGTTACTCGTTACTCTTTATCCGTAACTCGTGTTATTTGTAACGCGTACTGTACTTCATGTCAATCCAAAATCAGACAAGAGAGTCTCTTGAAAACTGCGCACGATCAGCATACCATCAAAAGCAATGGAAGAATTGTCAAGGAAATGCTTATCCTGCGCAGCATCTCGCTCATGTCACTCGCTATCTCCACATCCTTTCTCCACTGCCATCTTTTTGTCTTTGTCTAACTGTGTGCTCGTCCAATCTGTGGCATTTATTACTGTTCTAGCCGCGCACCTGTGCGTCTCTTTTCTTCCACAGCGCGTAGTATCAGCGACTACTGATAACACACACCCACTAACTGTCTATTTCACACATATCTCACACTCACACTTCACCTAAATGCAGAGAAAAAATGTCTTCAAGCGTTCTAAGTATTTCATTTTGTTTATCTTTAACAGATTAAATTTATAGTTTTTAGTTTATGTATTTGTACAATTTACTTCCTTTGATTCGATTCAACGAGACTTACAAAATGTAATTCTTAGTTAGGGTAATTTTTTCTCTGTGCACTCTCACACATCTCAAGTGTTATCTAGCTGATCGTGTAAAGTTTGCTTTGAATGGAATCCCCCAAAAACTACGAGCTCCAACTATGTGTGCACCGCCGTCGCTTAATCTGTCCGTCTCATCACCTTTCTCTCTTTTCTCTTTCTTTATCTATAAAACCCTGAACGTTATAGCTCTGCTGTATGCCACGATCTTTGGCCATGTGACTACCATCATCCAACAGATGACCTCGGCCACGGCCAAGTACCACGACATGCTCAACAACGTGCGTGAGTTCATGAAGCTGCACGAGGTGCCGAAAGCTCTCAGCGAGCGTGTTATGGACTATGTCGTCTCCACCTGGGCCATGACCAAGGGTCTGGATACCGAGAAGGTAAGTTGTCCTTGATAGGATGCCCCCCTGCCCCAAAAAGGATCTTCCGGGAGGCTAAATCGCCTTGAGCGTTTTTCTGTTGCCAACAACTAGCTTCTTGCATCAAAAATCATACACTTTGGCATTATTTCCAGCTGGGAGAAGGAGGATACATTTACCCATTTATGTGTCTCATTTATCAACGCTTTTGTGTATAAAGTTTATGCGCCGGAACTTTGTTCCATTTATGTACATAGCTGGCTTCTCTACAGAGCTTGGCGCACTTCAGCCTATCACTTTCTCTAATGCACTCGGCATACGCACACATACATGACATACATTCAACAATTGCTACTCACTACTCGTTACTCGCTACTAGCAACTCGTACTCGCTACTCACAACTCAATGTTAGATTGCTCATCAATCGCTGGTTCTGGGCTTCTACATTTTTCCACTTAAACCTAACTTTTCACATAAGAAACTTTTATGATCTCTTTTATAGTTACTTAAAGAAAGTTCCTTACTTCCTTATGATTTTACACCCTATAAAGATATTTATTTAGAGTCTTATGACTTCCATGATTATTTCTCGTATCATCATCTTTACTAGTCTTTCCTAGTCAATCGTTTCTCGCCATTAATCACTGGTAGTACAGCTTAACACTTACAGTTACACCACAATTACCACACAGACTCGTTCCTCTATCAACAAACCCCACTCGTTACTCGCTACCTTACACAAAACCTGTACTTTCTCTCTCTCTCTCCTTAACTCTTCGACAAAGAAACTTTGATCGCTGCTCCCGCGCTTTGTTTTCCTTATATTTTGAAGCTTCTGATCATATTCCCCTAGACCTAAGATCAAAACTTAAAAAAAAAAAAAAAAAACCTATAAAACGACCAAAGTCATAAACCACCCACAGATCAAGGACAAGGTGATGGGTCTGAGGTAAGCTGTGGGTGGCGAAGAAACTGTAAATAAAAATCTGAAAGAATGCGGAAAACACCTTAAAAGCTCTATACATCTAACGAAATCATCTTTAACAGAACTCAGCTAATCGATGATCTATCTCTCCATTCTCTCCATGTGTCTGCCCGCGAGCGAGATCCGTGCCAAAACGAAAAGCGTCCGTCAAATTCATGCCTTTAGATGAACCTGAACCAAACGGCGCACCGACCCCTAAAAAACCTAAAAACCTAGATGCCCGTTACCCAAAACCTCCTCCTAAAAAGAAAAACTAACCACAGTCAGGGGTCGTTTGCGCCATAAAAATTTGATAATATATATCGTATAAACCCAAGTTTGGTTCAAAGACAGAAACAGAGTTTAGAAACGGTCCAAGCCGAATAAACTGACCTTTATAACTATTTCGTTGACTGTAGTTTGTGCCGCAATTAAGAATATCCCCGAAATCCCTGTTACTTCCCTAAAAATTGGAAATAGCACTCAATCACACTTAGACAACCTAAAAAACAGACACACAATCACAGACACACACACACACACACACACTATCAATGGAAAACAGAACGAGAAACACAGACACACTGACACTCGATCAATGTTGTATGTGTATTAGTGTATGTGTGCGTGTGTGTGCGTGTCCCGTTAGCCACTAGAGCTGAAGAATTCCGCCCAGAGAATCATTTAGATATCTGGTTGGAAAACCTCCGTGGTGGTCCGCAAATTTTCAATTTCCCATAGAGAAAGAGGCAGTTAACCGATTGATCCGATAAATAAACCAATCACCAAATCTTTTCTCGCAATCGCTTCGTTTCGATTAGCCTCGAATCGAAGCCTATCGAACCGCCACTCGCAACTCGTTCACAATTCGCAGGTACTAAACTATTGTCCGAAAGATATGAAGGCTGACATATGTGTTCATCTAAATCGCAAAGTATTTAACGAGCATCCGGCATTTCGTCTGGCCTCGGATGGTTGTCTCCGGGCATTGGCGATGCACTTCATGATGTCGCACTCGGCGCCGGGGGATCTGCTCTATCACACCGGCGAGAGCATCGATAGCCTCTGTTTCATCGTCACAGGCAGCCTGGAGGTGATACAAGACGATGAGGTTGTGGCAATATTGGGTGAGTTAACCGGATTACCAATCAAGATTTGGTTTCCCTCTACTCCCTCAGCGATAGCCGCAGAACTATCGTTTTCGATAGCTTACGTAAGGAAATTCGGCGATAACTCTGCGGCTCCTTTTCGAACCACATCAACCACACACTGAGACAAATCTCATTTTACAGGCAAGGGAGACGTCTTCGGCGATCAATTCTGGAAGGACTCAGCCGTTGGCCAGAGCGCGGCCAATGTGCGCGCTCTGACCTATTGTGATTTGCATGCCATCAAACGTGATAAATTGCTCGAAGTCCTCGATTTCTATTCGGCATTTGCGAATAGCTTTGCACGCAATCTGGTGCTCACCTACAATCTCAGACATCGACTGATTTTTCGCAAGGTGGCCGATGTGAAGCGCGAAAAAGAATTGGCCGAACGGCGTAAGAACGAGCCGCAATTGCCCCAGAATCAGGACCATCTCGTACGGAAGATCTTCTCAAAGTTCCGTCGAACTCCGCAAGTTCAGGCGGGCAGTAAGGAGCTCGTCGGCGGATCTGGCCAAAGTGATGTCGAGAAGGGTGACGGCGAGGTGGAGCGAACTAAGGTGAGTTTTTGGGATTGGAATGTCCCCATAGCGTATCTCTCTCTCTCTCTCTATCTCTGTCTATATCTGTCTTTGTTGCTGTGCATTCTGCTTTCAGTGTTTCGTTGTTGTTATTTATCGATACATTTTCATGTTTTGTTGTTGTGTTTATTGGGTAGTTCTATGTGCATTTGTTATATGATCTTTGGGGATTGTGCGATAGGAAGTGGTTCATAAGATGTACCTGAGATAACCTTATTATAGGTATTATCAATGGAGTATACGAAGAAATCCTTAGTAAACGATAAATTTAATACCAAAAACCAATCAAACACAATCCCTGAAAGTATCGATATCATTTTATGTTTGCTGTTTTAAATTCTATGTTAAATTTTCCGTTGGCTCAATATCACTACGGTTCGAGACCCGTTCCGTTGCCATTCGTTTCCGCTGCATCGTTCACCGTTAACCGAACTAACGTTTCTTTCGAAGCCTCAGCCTCACAATCCACCAATCACAGCTCCAGCCAGAGTCCAAGACCCCAGGCGAACTGATAAACACCCGGGCACTGAAACACGACCGGTGGGGCAATTGTTTTGCCATTTACCGTTTACCGTTAACTGTTAACTGTTAAACGTTTACAGTAGTAGTTAATAATAACGTTGTATTTGCTTAACTAATGTTTCTTTACTATCGAAGCGATAAACTTGTATACAAAAGTGACTTATGCTCGTTGTATGTCTTTCTTTGTCTTTGTCTTTCTTTAACATGCTTACGCATAATGCATATAACTGTTCACAACTCGCCACCAAAACAAAAACCAAAACACCCACCATTCATGCTCACTTATTCACCACACCTCTTTCACGATATCCAATATCCACCACAAAAACAAAACTGTTCTTTTCCGCTTTGTACATACTTTTCTGGCCTTGCCTTGATCTTTGAATTCCTTAATTTATGTTGTGAATTTGGCTAAAAAAATATAATTGAAATTAAAATTAACAAAATTACTAACGGAAAATTCTGTATTATTTCCCCAACACCCGTATCGAATTCCCCTGCAAACCCTGCGCTTCTATATCCCCCCGAAATCCTTCCAACCCACCACACTTTCTCTTTCTTCTTTCTCCCGCAAAATTTGTTGATCGAAAAACGCCTGATATGATATATATGAAATAATGCTTGCTCGGTAAAATGCTCGATAATGCCCCCTGCTAAAAAAAAAAAAAACAATAATAATATAATCGACAAAACCAACAAAATTGCAACAACAACAACATATACAAGAAGCTACCAGCCAAACTGACACTGACCGAGGACGCTCGCATCCTCAGCACCGCAGCGGCGCCCTCGCCATCGCCATCCCCATCGCCCTCATCGGGTCCACCATCTGCGCGCAGTACACGGGCCAGCAAGTGGGGACGCCTTCTGGGCAGTTCAAGCGTCGATTCAGCTAGCGACACCAGCGCCAAGGTAGCCGTCTCGAGAAGTTTGAGCGCCCGCGAAAGTCTCCGAGAGAGCACCGCCCAAGCGCGGCAGAGTAGTACTTCGAGTAGCAATGGTGGACAAGGCAACAAAGTAATTATACGCTTTATCAATCAGGATCTGGGATCTGGGATCTGGGATCTAAGATCTGCGATCTGTATGATTCTGGGATCGTTTGACATACAGCTAAACACGAAAACACATTTAAGGGACACACGATGATATGATGAGGATTCTACTAATCTGTGCAACTAAATTTTAACTCAATTTGATTCGTTTTTGATTTATTAGTGATATCCTTAATAGCTTGCTTCCATTGACATGCAGTTCTGGTAAACAAAAATATTGACTAACCTAGAAAAACTAGTTTTTAGACTTAATGGGTGAGTTTTAAAGATCTCTAAAGGTCCCTAAAAGTATACTTACAAACCTTTACATATCTTTTTGGTCCCTTTTGTAAAGCTTATTAAGACTTAATCCAGAAATGTAAATCAGTGGAATCAAGCTTAGTAATACATACTACGTTTATACACCTGCTAGCTACTTACAACTTTTAATCTCTGCTCTTATCTTCATAATCAAAGTAGCTTCTTAACTAAATCTTAACTTCTATTAGTAATTCTAAGGCCAAAGCAGGTATCTAAACGTTGTAGAAAATCACAATACAAGAATACCAAAACAGACATGTCCTAAATAATGCAAACAGAAAATGCATGTTTGTTGGGGTTTCAATTTTAATGATAACTCTGTCTCTCTTTTTGTTTTTTTTTTTTTTTTGCCTTTCGTTTGCTCTTCTCACTTCCGATTACGTGACCGGTTACTCGATCATTTTGCGTTCATTTCCTCAATTATCATTTCGTATTTTCTCCATTTTGAAAATTGTGCAATCGAATTGACTAGCATTTACAATTAAGCAAAGTAAGTGTACGAACGATTAGTTTGTTTAACCGCTACTTTAGTTGGCTGTCCCACTCTGGCACACGATACACTGTTATCGGTTTTGTCTACCGATAGGCAAATGGGCGAGCCGATTTAATGGTTATTCGTTATTTAATTCGTAATATGCTATGTTAGAATTAAATTTGTATTTAAAAAGCTTGAAAATCTTAGAGATAAAACCATAATCGTGCCCGCCCATGGCCGAAACTTGAGCCCTAGCACCACGCCCACTGCCCACTTCAAAAATGACACACCCAGCAAAACTGCCTTTAGAGAATGTTTATACTGCAATGATCCCGAAACCAAATTGATATATTTTTTCGATTTTTTCCGCTTACCGTTGACTTTTCTCTCTCTCTGTCTCGCAACCAAAAACTCGAAATTGAAATAATACCATTGCCTGCCTTGCTACAACAACTCAAAATTGATTTCGAATTGGAAAAACAACAACAACTGCAACTTTCGAAAATGAAATAAAAACAAAAAATAAAAATTGGAAAACAAATTCAATGCACTGCACTCTGCCAATCTGCAACCTGCAACAAATTACCAACCTGCAACTGCAACAACAACCGAAAATGAATGCCTCGACAATCAATCAACCAATCAATCAATCAACCAACCAACCAACCAAATCAATCAACAACCAATCCACCAAACTTTTAACCCAAATTCCGAAACCGAAACCAAAACCGAAAAAACCAACTCAAACACTATTTTTCTCACTTTTCTCCCTTGCCGAACCGATACAAAAAACAAAAAAAAATGAAAACCATGCAACATGCAACAACCTGCCACCCGCCTGTCTATCCCGCATTTGCATCCGCATCTCCGCATCGTCCATTGTTCCATTAAACGTCACCTCCAGGTTTTTCCCAAGGCGCCCAAGCTGCAGGCTAGCCAAGCGACCCTTGCCCGCCAGGACACCATCGATGAGGGCGGCGAGGTGGACTCCTCGCCACCAAGTCGCGACAGTCGTGTGGTCATCGAGGGTGCGACCGGTGCTTCATCCGCCGTGGGAGCCGTTGGATCCGCCACTGTCGGTCCATCACCGCCTGTGGCCACCACATCGTCAGCGGCGGCAGCCGGAGCATCGGGAGGAAGTGGCGGCACTGTCGTGGCCGTTGTCACCAAAGCAGATCGGAATCTAGCCCTAGAGCGAGAGCGACAAATCGAAATGGCCAGCTCGAGGGCAACCACATCGGATACCTACGATACAGGGTTGCGCGAGACGCCGCCCACGCTGGCGCAGCGCGATCTCATCGCCACCGTGCTGGACATGAAGGTGGACGTGCGGCTGGAGTTGCAGCGTATGCAGCAGCGCATTGGTCGCATCGAGGATCTGCTGGGTGAGCTGGTCAAGCGACTGGCACCTGGTACTGTCACCGGTACCGCTCCAGATAATAGCAGTGGCCAGACCACGCCCGGCGACGAGATCTGCGCGGGCTGCGGCGCGGGCGGTGGCGGCACGCCCACAACACAGGCCCCCACATCTGTGGTAACTAGCCCAGTGGACACTGTGATAACCATTTCATCGCCGGGAGGATCTGGAGCGGGTACGGTATCTGGACATGGGTCCGGATTAGCTGGCGCTGGTGGCGCTGGTCTGCTAAATCCGGGCGCCACAGTTGTGTCGAGCGCGGGAGGCAACGGCCTGGGGCCGCTGATGCTCAAGAAGCGACGCTCGAAGAGCAGGAAAGCACCGGCGCCTCCTAAGCAGACACTCGCCTCGACGGCCGGCACCGCGACCGCAGCTCCCGCGGGCGTTGCCGGATCTGGCATGACGTCATCGGCGCCAGCGTCAGCGGATCAGCAACAGCAACAGCAGCAGCAGCAACAGCCGGCGGATCAATCACCCACAACACCAGGAGCAGAGCTACTGCATCTTCGTCTACTCGAGGAGGACTTTACGGCGGCCCAACTGCCATCGACATCGTCTGCCGGAATAGGTGGGGGTGGAGGATCTGGGTCAGGTGCTACGCCCACAACACCGCCACCGCCCACAACAGCGGGCAGTGGTAGCGGCACGCCCACCACGACCACTACTACTACCACCACGCCCACAGGCAGCAATACACGGGGCAAGCTGGAATTTCTGTAGCCCACGATGATGGAGGAGCGAATGGAGGAGGCCTCCAGCCAGGAGCAATAATACAAAAACGGGGGAGTAGGGGCCCAGCCACGCCCACTCGCAAGCCTACGCCTACGCTTAGTTAGTCTATATACTTAAGATACAGCTGTAACCTCAACTCGACACTAAAACTAGCTCATGTATCTCAAGCGCCTAAAAGTCCACTACAACGTATTTATCTAAAATTTGTAAGAAGCTTTCCCGGCAAAGATAGGTGAAAAGGAGTGTTAAGAGAACTGAGTTTTTCCAAAAGAAAAGTAGTTTATAAATTTAGACAGATCTCTGCTTTTGCAATAGAAAAAGATCTCAAACTTTCCAATAGAAAAGAAGTTTTAAGTCTGAGAAAGATCTCAGATTCTATAGTTTATGTTATGTTCGTTTGGACATAAGTTTCATCTGTTAAATATAAAGATTTCAATATTTAAGATATTCAATATTCAAAGATACTCAAAGAATAACTTTTCATTGAAAAATAAGATAAAACATTCCAGATTTTTAATCTTATTTATCTTCTTAAACTAACCTTAAGGTTTTCATATATTTTTAATATTTTCACGTGTTCTTGTGGTTTTTGTGAAATGTGTACTAAATAATATTTAAAAATTGTCAAGTTCCTTAAAAAATATTTGTAAAAAAAAAGGTAGAAAAATAAGTTGTAGTGGAACTTTGGCTAAAAAACTTTCTTTTTCGCTACACGAATCTCAAACGTTTTGCTATCCTTCTCTATCACACACTTACACATATACACACAACACACACACTCTGAATGGAAGTGCTCGATACTCGATATTCGATACTCTTTAACCGTTACATGATTATGATTATGATTACGATAGCGTTTAGCCATAACGATAACGATTACGATTAAGGCAAGCATATTGCTTACGAATTTGCTACATTTACTGCAATTATTTACCTTTATATGTATACATATATATATATATATATATACAAAAAGAAACGTTGTAAAGGACACACACACACACACAGAGATACACTCACACACACCCACATATATATAGCTGTATGTATATATGGATAATTTTGTGATAACTGCTAAAGGAGGCAAAGAACCAGAGGAAAAAAGCTTACAGACCGAAACAATGCCCGTGAATTGTACATAGCCTAAAAAACTAAAACCTAACTTTAGAGAAGAGGATCCAACAGGGATGCCATGCCACACACACATACATACGAATAACGAATACCAGAGACAATGTACATATACACACACACACACACACACACACAGAGATTCATATATGGATATAACCCGTCCTAACTAACTAACTAACTTAACGAAACTTGGCTTGAGCACTCCGGCACTCGCACTCGCTTGGCTCCCTATATTCTAGGCTTTATAGACTCGATAAACGATAACGATAACGAAAAAGAAACTCAACTCAACCAAATAGTTAACTCAGCAACAGTAAAGCTTAAGTAATACCGAAATGATATAAACAGCAGATAAATTGTGGCCGCTAAAAACGAAACGACAATCGACAGACCTAAGAAACCAAAAAACGACAAACAAACAAAAAAAAGAAGAAAAAGATTTAACAAAAAAAAAGCAAATAAAAAACAAAAAGAAATAGCAAATCTCTAGTTACAAGCAAAGATCGAATATGATTTCTTTGGGCATTGTAAATATTTGAATTAAAATTTAGCAAAATATGTTACCACACCAACATACACACTCACAAGCTCACCAACACTTGACAAACAAACACATATTTTGTGATAAAAGAAAGAAAAAGAAATTAGCTAAAGAAAAATCAATTTGAAAAGTTTAGACAACAAAAAATGTAACCTAGATATTTGTTTATGCTGGCATTTGATAGGCTTGCACTTGGCATATAGTTTATAAAGGACTTGAAGGATCAGGATTAATGGTAGTTATCGTGCTTCTTCAGATCACGGTTATATAGTATGTTTAAGTAGGAGAAAGAGAAAAAAGCTAATAGAGGGACGAGGAGCACGTTTAACCTGGACAGTTTAGAGGCAAGGTTTCATTACGTTTAAGTCGCCAGCAGACATAGCATCATTTGGAGTCCACTTGAATCTCGTTCGGTTACCGTTTTGATTCCCTAGTTGGTATTTTATATAATTGCTATTCGATATTTGATACTTATAATACCTTAGCGTAGATAGGCGGCAGAACCAGATAACCCCAAAAAAAACACACACACACATACGAACTGTCTTCCCTGTATAGTTGGGGGAGTTAGGTTAGGGTGGGCCTACATAAGCGGGGTTCGGGGTTCTGTACGCGAAAGTTACTTAGTTCTAGTTGTAGATTTTTTCGATTCCCATTACCCAGAATCCCCCGTCAAACCAAAAAGCAATTCAAGTGGTATTAAAAATTGAGTAACCAACACAAACTCACTCTGTCAGTCAGTCAGTCAGTCACTAACTCTCACTCCTATATACATATACGTATTTCCAATACTCAAGAAAGAATCAAAAGTTAATGGATTGTTGCATACTTTTTAGGGCTTAAGTTCTAGTTGAAAGTTGAACGAATGTAGCGGGCTCACTGTACATAGGTTTTTTTTTTAAACAAAATAACTATAAATCAAATATACCTAAAACATAAATATATATATATATATTAATATAAATAATTGATAAAATAATAATAATTAGGCAGCTGGCGGAAGACAACTGAGTAAGGAAAGCTAAGACGCACTAGGCCGGAGAAGGGAAACGATAAGACGAAGATTTACCGATAGTCCTCATATGAAGATACGATAGCACTGATACGATAGCAGCTTAGTATTCGTATTGTTTAAATCCTATATCTCGCCACCTTTAACCCCACTATCTCTACTTCACCCTCACTCTTTCTCTAACTATCTCTTTCGCTTCCGCCTCCACCCCATCCTTAGTATAGCTTTCGGGTTGTTGTTTTTTTTTAATTGACCCTACTACACAGAGCCTTATAAATATAACCTAAAGTAACTAAAACCAACTCAAGCAGCATTCAGTAAACTAGCAACTCAGACCTAATACGAAAAGAAAAAGGAAAAACCTAGCATTAGCATTAAAAGTGAACGAAAACGTGAAACTAAAAATGGTGCAATTACAATTTTTAGATCAAGCTGAGCGAGCAATTTAGTCGAAATTTATATTGAACAATTTATGGGAGAAAGAACTTATATATATATACATAGGAGGAAATGCGAATCTCATGTATGTACATACACCCAAGCAAAAAGAAAGTTATAAAGAATAGAAGGAGAAGAAGGAAGGAGGAGGTACCCCTGTCTCTACAAGTCCCAGATAATACAAAATCATACTCATGATGTTCTGGCCTTCGATTTCGTCGCCTGGAAAATGCCCGGATTCAGTCTGATATTTATATAGATCGCCAGATTGTAGATGGTATATGTAGGTGGTAGGTGGTAGGTGGTAGGCAGCTGAAGATCGGTCGATTCGGGTCCGTCTGCTGGGACATTCGCTGAGAGGCGCCAAAGAAACTGATTAAACCATATTATTATTATAGATATGTACATGTATATATGTGTACCTCTAGTTACACCTAGAATGATAACGAGAACAACCTATCAAAATTAAGCTTTTATACGCCAGAATTTTTTTCTAAACAACTAAAAAAAAACAAAGCAAAACAAAACAAAACAAAAACGAAAGTAAACTAAACAAACTTAATGAAACACTCAAGAATATACACAATTAATGCAAGCCAGAGAAGACAGCAAAATTAAATCACAACACTCAATTAACGAAATACCGTTTACAAAATCCCAAAAGTGAAAAATAAATTAATTTAAATATACATTATACAATGATAGAAGAAAGCCTTAACCAAGTAAACACGCGCCTCATTTTCGTTTTATCCATTTATTACGTAAGTCCCACAGCAATGCTAAAAAAAGAGGAAAAACTAAAAAAAAAAAATTAAAAACAAAAATACTACGGCTAAACCAAACATACTAAAGATACTGAGAATTACAAAACAAACAAAAAATATTTAGCATTATGCTCTAGACTCTAGACGAAAAAGAACCAAAATTTTACAACAAACAAGAACAAGAACAAACGCTATTAAGCAATGTTAAACATTTTCCACCAATTTGAGAAGCATAGTTGCTAAAATACCAACAAAAAAAGAACATTAAAAAAAAGAAAACCGAAACTTATTTCGTACACGCGCCCTTTGTTTTTAAAAATCGAAAAGCTGCCTATTTATATATTTACAAAAATAACAAACAAAATGAAAACGAAACGAAATGAAATGAAAGGAAAAGAACAGAAAGAGAATTACCATTTAACTACAAATTTAACAAACCACAAAAATAAAAAAAAAATACTACATATTGCAATTGCAACATTCCAAGTAAAGAAAGTAAAAAAAAAAATACCAAAAAATAATACGAGCATGTAAAAAATAGTTTGAAAGCAATTGAGTTTTGGTTTAACGGCGCCGAAAACTTAGAGACATCAAGCCATGGCTTTGCTGAGCAGATTTACAGTTATATACATACACCCACATTAGTATATATATAGGTATATATATATATATATATACGAGCATATATACTGATATATATATGTATATATAGGTAGTTTATACCATTTAAAGCTTGCTGGGACTCGTCCTAGGGCCACTGATTAAATGCCAGGAGACAAGCCGCGAAATCGATAACAGAAATAGTTGTATCATTTATTTGAGAATCGCTGGATTAATGCCTACAGTTAATGTGTATAGTTACTTGATTATTGCCGCATGCGACCCAAACTCACACAGACACACACACACACAAACACAAACACTCGAACACACCAGAATCAGACAGGCTATACGCCCATTATTCTGGGTTTAAAATGGATCGATCGAAAATTAGGGAACCCCAAACTAAGAATGACGTTTTCAGAACCGCATAAAGCGCAGAACAAAACTAAGACGCAACAGCCAAAAGAAACAAAGAAAGAGAAAAACAAACATAAAAATTTTTTAAAAAAATTTTTAAAAAAAATTTAAATTTTTTTGAAGGGGAGGAAGGAAGAAAAAAAAAAAAAAAAAAAAAAAAAAAAAAAAAAAAAAAAAAAAAAAAAAAAAAAAAAAAAAAAAAAATAAAAAAATTATTTAAAAAAAAAAGTAAAACTTAGTTTACGTTGTCCGTAGGTTTATCTAATCAGGAAACCTATTTTTAACAGAAATTTGCAATAACATGTTCGGTTTTTCAGCTCTAGATCGGCGAAAACAAGACGCACGCCAAAAGAACGACTGTTTCGTGCAGCTAACGACCGACACTAACCACCCGTATCACTCGTTTTTCGATTTTGGGAAAGTCAATTTTGACCCAAATTTCGCATTTTTGATAAGGGGTACCATCATCAAAATTTTCAAAAATGGCCCAAAAATGAAGGTTCCCAGATTTGAATGCAAACCAATTGGGAATCATAGCAATCAAGTTCCGAGCCCTACGAGGTATTACATTCCTCATTTGGACCATTTTTGGCTCTGCTATGCCCAAAAGACTGATTTTTTCCGCCCAAAATCAAGTATACGTCTTCTGACAGCAGAGATTCCGCTTTTGTTGCAGTCTCTTAGCTCTAACTTTGTCAAAACAAGACGCATTGCTAAAACAATGACTGTTTTATGCAGCCAACAACCAACACTTTAAGCCCCTATACCCACTTTTTACATAAGTGTACTGCTCTTTTGCTGTGAGGGCTGATTTAAAGGCTAAAAAAGGAAATGCAATATTTGTTGCGGTGTGTTAGCTCTAGCTCGGCCAAAACAAGACGCACAGCCAAAAGAACGACTGTTTCGTGCAGCTAACGACCGACACTAACCACCCCTATCACTCGTTTTTCGATTTTGGGAAAGTCAATTTTGACCCAAATTTCGCATTTTTGATAAGGGGTACCATCATCAAAATTTTCAAAAATGGCCCAAAAATGAAGTTTCCCAGATTTGAATGCAAACCAATTGGGAATCATAGCAATCAAGTTCCGAGCCCTACGAGGTATTACATTCCTCATTTGGACCATTTTTGGCTCTGCTATGCCCAAAAGACTGATTTTTTTTCCGCCCAAAATCAAGTATACGTCTTCTGACAGCAGAGATTCCGCTTTTGTTGCAGTCTCTTAGCTCTAACTTTGTCAAAACAAGACGCATTGCTAAAACAATGACTGTTTTATGCAGCCAACAACCAACACTTTAAGCCCCTATACCCACTTTTTACATAAGTGTACTGCTCTTTTGCTGTGAGGGCTGATTTAAAGGCTAAAAAAGGAAATGCAATATTTGTTGCGGTGTGTTAGCTCTAGCTCGGCCAAAACAAGACGCACAGCCAAAAGAACGACTGTTTCGTGCAGCTAACGACCGACACTAACCACCCCTATCACTCGTTTTTCGATTTTGGGAAAGTCAATTTTGACCCAAATTTCGCATTTTTGATAAGGGGTACCATCATCAAAATTTTCAAAAATGGCCCAAAAATGAAGTTTCCCAGATTTGAATGCAAACCAATTGGGAATCATAGCCATCAAGTTCCGAGCCCTACGAGGTATTACATTCCTCATTTGGACCATTTTTGCCTCTGCTATGCCCAAAAGACTGATTTTTTTCCGCCCAAAATCAAGTATACGTCTTCTGACAGCAGAGATTCCGCTTTTGTTGCAGTCTCTTAGCTCTAACTTTGTCAAAACAAGACGCATTGCTAAAACAATGACTGTTTTATGCAGCCAACAACCAACACTTTAAGCCCCTATACCCACTTTTTACATAAGTGTACTGCTCTTTTGCTGTGAGGGCTGATTTAAAGGCTAAAAAAGGAAATGCAATATTTGTTGCGGTGTGTTAGCTCTAGCTCGGCCAAAACAAGACGCACAGCCAAAAGAACGACTGTTTCGTGCAGCTAACGACCGACACTAACCACCCCTATCACTCGTTTTTCGATTTTGGGAAAGTCAATTTTGACCCAAATTTCGCATTTTTGATAAGGGGTACCATCATCAAAATTTTCAAAAATGGCCCAAAAATGAAGTTTCCCAGATTTGAATGCAAACCAATTGGGAATCATAGCCATCAAGTTCCGAGCCCTACGAGGTATTACATTCCTCATTTGGACCATTTTTGCCTCTGCTATGCCCAAAAGACTGATTTTTTTCCGCCCAAAATCAAGTATACGTCTTCTGACAGCAGAGATTCCGCTTTTGTTGCAGTCTCTTAGCTCTAACTTTGTCAAAACAAGACGCATTGCTAAAACAATGACTGTTTTATGCAGCCAACAACCAACACTTTAAGCCCCTATACCCACTTTTTACATAAGTGTACTGCTCTTTTGCTGTGAGGGCTGATTTAAAGGCTAAAAAAGGAAATGCAATATTTGTTGCGGTGTGTTAGCTCTAGCTCGGCCAAAACAAGACGCACAGCCAAAAGAACGACTGTTTCGTGCAGCTAACGACCGACACTAACCACCCCTATCACTCGTTTTTCGATTTTGGGAAAGTCAATTTTGACCCAAATTTCGCATTTTTGATAAGGGGTACCATCATCAAAATTTTCAAAAATGGCCCAAAAATGAAGTTTCCCAGATTTGAATGCAAACCAATTGGGAATCATAGCCATCAAGTTCCGAGCCCTACGAGGTATTACA